AGTAGGGTGCCAGTCCCATATGCCGAGGGTGGTGGGTTCAAACCCAGCCCTAAAAAAAAAAAAAAAAAACAGGGGCAGTGCCTGTGGCTCAAGGAGTAGGGCACCGGCTCCCTATACTGGATGGGAGGGTTCAAGCCTGGTCCTGGCCAAAAACTGCAAAAAAAAAAAAAACAGTAAAAAGGAACAAAATATTAAAATCTGGCAACTATATGGACCCTGTCACTGCTCTACTTACTTGGTGTGATTCTTTCTGATATTTCCTTTTCCATTTCCGGATGTTTGACAACTGAGCAGCTTTAATTTTCATTTGTCATGATTTGAGAGAACTTTACATGTTTTTTAAGTATTTCTATGGTTTAAATAGGAAATAGAAAATCAGTATCTTCCAAGACATGACAAATCTAACACAGCAAAAAGGTCTCATAAAATCTATTTCTAAAAATGAGTTTTCTTAAGAAATTCCAGAATGGAATAACTAGGTAGAAGTCTACCAGACAGAGAGAGAGTTGATGATCCTTTGTAGTGAATATTATTTCCTTTTCACATAATTCCCTCTGTTATCAAAACGAATACAAACAAATGTACACAGCTGCACACACACAAACACACACATTTCCACTTTGAAAGGATTAGGAAGAAGACAGAATCTATTGCAGGCCTCTGGTCACCAGTGGGGAACGGGCTGGCTGAGCACGCTCTCCTTTGCTCCTGCGAGGTGCCTGCAGATGCCCCAGCGGTGGTATCAGAGAGGATAGTCTCTCTCCAAGGTGCTGGAAGGCCTCCCGCAAACCGTGTTCTTCATTTTCCCCTCCTAAGATCAAGAGCAGTGCTTCACACCTTGCAGGAGATTGATTAGTGTTGACTGGTTTATATTGTCTGGCAGGGTTAGAGGCAGATTTGAAAGTTAATGCACAATTGAATTCTCCAGAGGACTTCTGAATCACCTGGAGAATTCTGGTACTATAGACATGACTGCCTTTGAATACAATTGTGCAAAAAGTAATTTCAAATAACATTAGGGATGGCTAAGAGCTGTTTCTTATTAACCCGAATCACTTTAGAACAAATCTTGACAATGACGAGCAGTGGTCCATTATGGGTGGCACGTCAACAGAGACCCAAACGGGAGACATCGACCATGAGCTTGTGCTCCTCTGACAGGGATGATTTAGAGCTAGTCCTTTATAGCTTTCAACGACCCATGAGGATCCATTTGTTAAAATACTATTATTATTTAATTATGAGTGTGGCAGTAGGCACCAGATTTTTATGAATGCCCAGAAGTTATCACTAAAATATTTCAGATAACATAAAAGCATGTACCTGTGTAAATGCTAATAACAATAATAATAATAAAACCATCATGGCAGAGTACCACAGCAAGTTAAAAAAATAGACAAAGGCAAACTGCGCGTGGGGGCTCTGGTAATTGGAAGAGTCAATGGCTATATGATTCAGGAAAATGGTCTCCCTGGAGAAAGAGACTGATTGGCCTGCATTTATATAGCAGCTAACCAACACTAAGCAGACTTGCCTTTGCATATTATTGGTGCCAGCCCGATGAGGCAGAAAATT